CACTTGGTTCTGGTTGCTTTAGCAAAAATTAAAATGGCTTGCCAAAGCCAATTGCCCTCCCCCCATTGTTTTCTTTTTTAGAGAGAAAAAGAAAAGCATGATTTTGGCAATATGCAAGGAAGATTCGTGGCAGGGCTGGAGCCAGACAAGGAATACTGCCTGGAGGGGTTTGGAACAGAAGAAGGAAGCTGGTAGGAGATGGTGCTGTGTATCATCCACCATCCCAGATCATAGCCTTTTGTTTTTTTCCATTCCATTCCCCTCTCTGGTCTGGAAATATACAAGTACCTGCATGAAACCAATATTCAGATACAGATTAGATTGGAGAGTACATGCACAGTCTTTGCTGCTATTTACAAAATGCCACATAATACATCTAGATATGTCGAACAGACAACACGCCTTAATATTAAAGAACAATATAACAATGAGTGCCCTGTTTTCTTTTTAAGCTATATTATAAGAGGAGCAAAATATTGCTATAACTCTATGACTGATACTTTATGTGTTCTAATATGATAAGAAGTTATACAAGTAGTGGTCAAAACTAAACAATTGCTAAGCCTGTATTTGAACAGTAGAATTAGCAGCATCGGTGGTTTGTGTGTATATTCCTGTTTCTAACTTACAAGTAAACATGGAAATGCAAACAATAGTAGTCATCGATCACAGTGAAAGGTTGACAACAGTGCATGCTCTTACTTTAGCAAATGCATATAAGATCTTACTTTAGCAAATGCATATAAGATACATTAATATAATGCACACCCATTGAACATAGAAAGAGAGTGTGCATCAGTTAAAATATGGTAGTATCATAAGTCAATGTCATGAGAACAGCCATCAGTCGTTGCTGTATATGGAGCTATGAGAATCTTAACTAACCTAAGCTATATGAAACTGAAAGGCTTCTAGCCCAGGACCCTATTTTCAAGGGGACAATTATAACACCTATGGGAAATCCATAACAAAAGTGTAATAGACCTTTCACTCTATCATTTCCCTGCAATTGGTATTTAGAAGTGTGTTGTCTTTTATCTTGGAAGTAGTGTAAATTCATCATTACTTACAACTGTTGATAACTTTATACTCCATGAATTTCTGTTGTTCCTGATTTACAAACAACAGCTGAAATCCAGAACAGACCCATTGAATCAGTGGATTTGGTGAGTCAGCTTCATAATTTCCATTGATTCAGTGGGCCAGTATGTTATAATAATCTTCTAAGAATCCTAATTAAAGATTGTTCACCTGTAACTGATAATGTAAACATACAAAATATGTGGCTAAATGGTAACTGAAAACTGTCTAAGTGTAAGTAGTTCAAAACTGCTATGTAATCTTTTGTTGTCCTGTTTAGCATTCAACTTCCCAAACAGCTTCTCGGCCTTTTCATTACCTATGCAAATAGGCTTCCTTTCTTTTGTCATTGCAAAGTTTAATAGTATCGCCAGCTGAAGACATTTGGCCTGGAGTTATCCATGCAAGAGCACATGTGTATAACCACTAATAGTTTCTAATAGAATGGCTTTTTTCTTTTCTTTTGCTATTTCAGCGAATAAATTGCTAGTAGTCCTGTTGTCATGAAGTTATACCAGCATAAACTGGACCCAATGCTGGAAATAATTAATTTAAACTAATTGACAACTCCCAGTCCCCCATTTTCAGGTTGCAGGGCTCTCTAGGGCTCCCTTTTGACCTGGGGAAGCCTTTGGGAACCTGAGGATCAGGGAGGGGGTTTTAATAATAAAAAATTGCTGGTTGACAAAGGTTTCTCCAGGACAAAAGGTAGCCCTAGAGAGTCTCACAATCTGAAAGACAGGGAGAGGAACATGAAGCTTTAATTAGTTTCAGTTAATTATTCTGGTGCCAGATCTGGCTCATGCCAGTGTAACTTTATGCAACAGGATTTTGCCCATTGAAGGACAAGACTTTGACTCCAAAATAACTGAAGAGCACCTGACTTATTTATGTCCTTAATATCCTCTTTTTCTCTCTTCCCTGAGGCAACTCACAAATGAACTAAAATACATACAACTGACAAGACAATAAGCTACAACACAAGTTATTGTTTTACTTTACTTGCTTTATTATTGCTCAATAGCCAGTCAGCCTTTACACGTAAACAGAAATTAAGACCACTCTTAGAAGCTGACAGTTAACATCTAAGATATAAATAAGTTTGAAGAAACAGTGTGTGAATAAAATAATAAAATAAACATTTCCCAATAAGTATTAAATATTAAGATCAACATGCAGAAATTTGTGAAGCAGTCAATGAATTGTTTCTTTCTACAGCCTGTTTAATGAATCTGGCACTCCTATAGCATATATAATAGTCTGTGCTAGGTAGCAAAACTGAAAGTATACATGGAGGAGAATTGTTCCTAAACCCAATTGTCAAAGGTACAAAATCCCCCAGAACAGCATTCTATTAGAATGTGTATCATGTCCTTCATGCTGGAACACCCTACTGGGCAGTATCCACTGGACTTTTTGATAATCAAAGTGAAATTGAAATTAAAGACCATTTTGGTTTACTTTTCAAAACCTGCTTCTAAATTTGCTATTTATGCTGATTTCAAAGAAGCACATCCCATTGCACAGTAAAAAGAAAAATATGTTTCATACAGCTTTATAATCCCAAGAAATCTGTTCAGAGGAAACTAAGCAGTTGGCTCTAACTGAAACAAAAATTGCAATTTAAACTATTTAAATGCTGAAATCATCTGAGTACACTTTCTATTGAACATTTTTCATTTGTTCCCTTCAATCAAACTTAAAGTGAATGAGCATTTGATCTGAAATGATTTATATTCTATTTGTCACAGTCTTATGTGTGCAGAGCTAAATGGGAACTGACTAGATATCTATATTATCAGTGTTCTCTGTCTGGAAAACCTTACCGCTGAAATAGCCAGATGAATAGATTAGTGCAACAGTCTAACTTGACTTGTTATTTTAACCAACATCTGGATATCTTTCTAGCAATGAAACAATAGGTTTGCACAAAACCCGTTGCACAAACCTGTAATACATGCAGATGTTAAATCTAATACACCATTTCTTGGAAAGGCTCACAGTCTATAATCTGCAACAGCTTGCAAATTCCATGTTTACTCAGAAACTTGAAAATAACAGTATCCAGTTGAAAAGGTCAGAGCAGTACATTCATAATGTGCCACTGTTGGTGACTTAAATCTTCTGGGATGCCAGACATCTAGCTGAACAGATATTGCATTAGCAATTGAGATATGTAAACCTGAAGAAAGTTTTCTTCTCTTGTGTTCTTGTTCATTTATGCAGTTGTAAAGCATTATTTGAGTAAAAGTTAACACTGCTGTTAAAAGCAGGAGACTTTCATGACTGACCATGGAATTCAAACAATTTTAATTGTAAATTTAGTTATTCTGGTAATTTAAGAATAATCCTTAGAGAACTTTTCATCATGCCTCAGAGAAACATAAACTGATAACTTCTGCCCAAAGACTATGAAAACATTAATGCTGCAGTAATTAATGTAGCTAAAATAGAGATGGATTTTCAGTATTCAAGTAATATTAAAAATTTTTTTAAAAAAATAATAGATCATGGTATTGGCTCTCATCATTTGTTAAGAAAAACATGATTTCTTTCCTTCGTTCCCTAGCAGAGTGCTTTTTTTAACAGCTGGCAACATCTTTACACATTAACTCTAATTATATAAACCCTAACAAAAAGGCAATAATATTGCCCCCCCCAAAAAAAATTGCATTTGATAATGTAATTTCAGTGACAAATAAAGTTTGGCTATTAATTTTTCTTCCTACTTTTGGGGGGCTACCCATGGATCTTTGTTCCAATATATTTCATCATTTTCATATTTTATTTTCCCCAAAAATGTGATCTAAAGTACACCCAAAAGTAGCACTCTTACCAATATAACATGTCACTGCTCTTTCTTTCTTTCTTTCTTTCTTTCTTTCTTTCTTTCTTTCTTTCTTTCTTTCTTTCTTTCTTTCTTTCTTTCTTTCTTTCTTTCTTTTGTAAAATGAATAGTAATAGGCTCATTGGGTGGATCAAAAATAAAATTTTAGTATATTAGGCTTGGCATGGAGCACAGTGTTTGTCACCAGAAATGATGAAATAGAAATTTTTTCCTGTATTTGCAGATATCATGCGCAGTGCTTTGGAATGCAAGTATTAATTATATAATGATATTTATTTGTTTTATAATAATGTACTCATACCAATTCACATAAACCCATAAGGAAAAAAGAGCCCTAAAGGACAGTGGAACCTAAATGTTGACAAAGGAGAAGACAATCAAATGTACTTGAGGGAACATAGAAGAGAGTTCATTTGATCCTGCCACTTGGAAGGTTAAAAGTACATATTGGTGATTGTAAGGGTGCATAGGCTAGCTTTCACTTTCCATTGCGGATTGATCTGTTGACCTAATCTTTTGTGAGCATATGGACAAGCCTTGCCCCTGCATGCATTGTACACCTGGGGAATGAAGCTGGCCTATCAGGATTTCCTCTTGTGTCAAAGGCTCCATGGAAAAGTGATCTAGAATGTGAAGAACAAGAGAAGAAATATGTGTGCAGAGTTGCTTTTTTGTCTGACTATAATGTGGAGTAGATAAATTTTTTAATGATTGCATTGGAAATAGAGCATCTGTCTGTCAGATGGCGGGAAGGAGGGAGGGACAGACAGAGAGAGAGAGACTGACTGACAGACAGACAGACAGACAGATATTGTCATTTTCAGACAGGTTACTTGCTCCAAAACCATCTCTGCTTGGTTGATACCTTCAAATCTCTTTTCCTAGAACTGGAACAGGTCTTCAGTGTTGTGTCACTATTTTCATGGCAGTGTTTCTTTAACCACACTCCTTTCTGGAAATGTGGCCACCTCTGTCTCATTTTCCGATTTGTTGTATGCATAAAATGTAAATAATTCTCTTCTGGTGAAAATCACTTAATATTGATGCTTATTAATCTGTTCTCTTTTTTTAGACTGGAATAAGCGTATTGAGTACAAGCCTGGTTCTGGGAGCATACCTTTGTTTCCAAGCATCCATCTGGAGACGTGTGATGGACCTGTTTCTTCTATCCAAACCACTATTCAGCTACAAACAAATTACATTGGAAAGGGCTGTGACCGTGAGACTTACTCAGAAAAATCACTTCAGAAATTATGTGGTATAGATTTAAAATTTTAATTGATTTCTTTACAATTTAGAACATTAGCTGTTGTTAACTGAAAGTTGGAAGTAGGTGATCTGTTGGGCAGTGATGGGGCAGAGCTATAAGAAAGTGATAAATCACTTCAGAAATTATGTGGTATAGATTTAGAATTTTAATTGATTTCTTTACAATTTAGAACATTAGCTGTTGTTAACTGAAAGTTGGAAGTAGGTGATCTGTTGGGCAGTGATGGGGCAGAGCTATAAGAAAGTGATCATCTTTCTGACCCTGATCTCTCTTTCTCTTTTTAACATCATCTTCAAGCCTTGCACTGTCTGGCCCGCCTCCTTTCTATGCAGCAAATATCTCAGGAAGGAGCAGTCAGCTTGCCAAATGTGTAATTCGATTGCTTGCAGAAGGCTTTTGAAATTAGGCTGAGAGATGCTTCCCTTTTGTTAAAAATAATTAGCATTATCATTCAATTGAAACTCAATGTTTTGCTAGTAGCACTTGAAAATTTTCCAGAGTTCTGTATATGAGGGGGTGCTGATAAGTATTGAGGCTTTCCCAGAAAAAAATGAGCTAGGAAGCTGTAACTGCCACACTATTCTACATATTTCCCCAGGAATTCAGTGCACTTGCGACATCTGTCCTGCAGCTTCTTAAGTCCCTGCCAATAAAATTCTTTCCCTTGGAGAAACAGGAACTGGATTATGGCTCTATGCTCTTCCACATTGAACTTTTCTGGAGGTGCTGCCATGTTTACTTTGGACCTGAACATGAAAGATAAGTTACAATCACAGGTAGTTGATTTTTGCACCATTGAATACAGACAAATTGGCCAATACACCCTGCAATGTGTACCTTCCTATCTCATTTTTTTCTGGGAAAGGCTCAATACTTATCAGCACCCCCTTGTAAATAACAGTAGTAATTGCACCCAAGAAAAACACTTTATAAATACCAATGTTTAATAAAAATAGACTCAAGGATGTCATTTAGCAACACAGTCATATGCATGTCAACTCACCTCATCTCAGAATAATCATCTTCAACAGAAGTACTGTAAGTGTAAAAGTGTAGCCTGAGCATTGTTCAGTTCTTAGAGTTTAAAATCTTGGCACTTGGTTTGAACATTTAAAACCTTAATAACAAATTGTGAGTCAATTTGAGTTCTGTAATTGGGAGAAAGGGGGCATACAAATGAAAATAAATAAATAAATGAATAAACATAAACAAACAAACAAACAGTAGTTGAGGATGATGAGAGTTGTAGTGCAACAAATATGGAGCTACTCAGTTCCAAAGTCTACTTTATTCCTACACAGAAATTGGTTGGTTGTTCAAATGATTTCTGAGGGAAAGATGGAGTGTGGAGAGAAGCTAATGACCACGAACCACATTTGAAACTGAGCCCTGCAGGAAGAACTTGTATTCAGCTCTCTGTCACACTGAAGTCTTCCATGATCTTTATATGGAACTTTAGAACGTATTATGTAGTATTCATTTGATGAACTACATAGCAAAACAGAAAAAAGCTGGAAGAAAACAGCACTTCTGTCCCATTGCTATTAGCATCTCTTACTTGAAGCCTCTGTTCTTGCAACGTATTTCTTTTTGTCTCCCCCACTTCTTCTTTATAGACTTTTTGATCCTTATATTTCAGGGAAAGACCTTCATAGCAGATTTTTTTTTTTTATTGTAAGAACATTTCTGTATCTGTAAAGAATTTTTGTGAATGATGGATGAACTTTTTGCCTTCCTTTCTATCCCTTCAAGCTGCATTGGGCTTAGATGTACAGCCTTCGCTAACGTCCTGCTTCTTTGTGTAGCAGATCTAATTAGGTTGTCCCACCCAAAATAATGAGGCCAGATATGTATGATGGGAGTAAGCAAGAACCTCACTTTATTAATTTATTATTAAACTTAACCACTCCCATCCTGCAGGGGGGGCTACCATAGTGTAGAATCCCTCCTCTGTCTTATTAGGAGAGCTTTCAAATCCTGAGGTCTTGCTATACTCCACAGCCTGGCCCCATCTAGTCATAATCATCTGAGAGCTCACCACCCCTGCCTTTCCCTCAGCAGTCCCATGACAGCAGCAGAGTAAGTAGTTGCTTAGATGCTGGTGTCTGGGTCAGGGAGGACTTAAAAGCATTGTTTCCCCACCCCACACTGCTAGATTTACAACAGCATTGTCCTTGTGACATGCCCAGACTCCTTTGGGGAGGAGGGTGGCAAATGTGTCACAGCCTACTGCACAGGCCTTCACCCAAAGAGGTTGAACCATGTCAATTATCAAAGTTAAGGGGTACTGCTTAGTGCAACTGCATGACATAACACACCTGTGTAGACATGCACAATGCCTGGCAAACAGTTATTGGTTACTAAATTTCCAGTTTACTGGGTTGTGAGATAGAAGAAAATAAAATTGGTATGATCCAGTATATTCTCCATGGACTGACTTTTATAGCCATGAATTATTAATAGCACCACCCCTCCAAAAAGAGTTCTATTTTTCTTAAAGAAGGATTCAGTTATTGTTCAGTTTTGTAGCTGCTGGTGCCTATACTGCATTGGGATAAGGTAGGGCAGGGAGAAAGCTATAATCAAGTCCTCTAAATCAGGGATCCCCAACCTCTGGTGCGCAGCCCAGTGCTGCTCCGTGGCCTTGGCAGGACTGGGCCACAAAGACAGATCTCCCGGCCTCCCCACATGTGCTCTCCCCACGCATACTCTCACATATGCACAGCCCACCCACCTGCATGCAGGGCTGCCCCGTGTCCTGCCCACCCGCAAGTGCCCTGCCCCCCACACATGTGTGAGTGTGCGCCCCCCTGCACATGGACTCTACCCTCAACTGGTCCACAGTCTGGAAAAGGTTGGGGACCACTGCTCTAGATAGTTTATTGAAACCTTTATTCTTTACCCTTTGAGTCTTCCCCTGAGCAGGGCGTAGTAACTGAGGCCAGAGAACAGAATGTGGCTCAGATATTAAGATGAATTCATAGATGACACAAATGGATGTTCCTTCTACAAATTTTCTCTAAGCATATGGAAACGTAGGATGTATGACCTTTGATCCATCTAACCTAGGCTGGCACTGTCCCCCATCTTGTTTGGGACTTTATGCATGTAAGGGCTTTACCACTGAACTACAACTGATGTAAGCAAAGGAGGAAAATGTGATCTCTCTTTTGTTCCTTATTAGTATGTATATATTTTGTAGTTGTAATGGGAGTACATATTTCTGGCACTGTAGAAGTGAAAACAAAGGCTATATTGGTAATACCTGAGAGGGATAAAACATGTCACCATTTGTCCAAGAGTTAATTCAGATGGGCAGCTTTCTAATTAATGTCTCATTCGGCTGCTTATTGCATATTATCTACAGGAGCATCATCGGGTGCCATTGACTTATTACCAACGCCCAGTGCAGCAACTAACTGGACAGCTGGTCTTCTGATAGACAGCAATGACATGATCTTTAAATTTGATGGAAAACAAGGGGCCAAAATCCCTGATGGAATAGTACCAAAGAATCTAACTGACCAATTTACTATCACAATGTGGATGAAACATGGCCCAAGTCCAGGATTAAGAGCAGAGAAGGAAACTATTCTGTGTAATTCAGATAAGACAGGTGAGTAAACTTTATTTAAAATGTGTACTTTCTTTATCCTCCTCCCAGTTTTAGCATGCTGAATAAGACTAAGTATTGAAATATATTTTATATTCAAGTGTATGAACTAGCCTTCAGATATGCATTATATTAAATTATTGGTGGATTTGGTGAAATACACATTAGGATGAAATATATGAAGAAGTATACTGTGATTTCAGTGAACTATGTAACCATAAGTAAGTATGCTAAGATACTTTTTATGTTTCAATATCTATTTTTAGAAATGAATAGACACCACTATGCACTTTATGTGCACAACTGTCGACTTGTGTTTCTGTTGCGAAAAGATTTTGACCAGGCTGATACCTTCCGTCCTGCAGAATTTCATTGGAAGCTTGACCAGGTACTTAGTTTTCTGTTCATTACATTGATAGTTTGAATGGTTTCCCAGTCACTGTTGAGGATTGTATGAAGAATCAGAAATGGAGTTTCTTGTGCTGCTATAAACGCTCATGTGCTTCTTATGTCAGAAGGAAATGATCCTAGATTCTAACCTTTTAAAAAGCAACGGTATTTTTAAATGAAATTTCTTCTTGCACATCTGGCCACAGTTACCTATATTGAGCATGAATAGAACCTAACCACAATTATCAGTCCTTGGGCCTCATAGGATAAAGTTCCCAGTGAAAGAAGTGAAATAAATTATCTCAAATCTCAGTTGCGCTGAGAGAGGCTGTCCCAGGGTAGAGACATAGCAAACTTGAAGCAAATCAGTTACGTGGATATTAATTGGCAAAGTTATTAATTTGAAAACAACAATCAAAGCAAATTATGAACAGAAACAATTTTGCTGTGACTTAAGGCTTCATAAACTATATGAAGATTCTAGTACAAAGCATTCCCAATTTATACCTTTATCCTTGTATAATTACTGTGGAAAATATGTGCAGACAAGTTAATGCAGTGATTCACTGGAAAATTTATACAATAGGCATAGTGTGTTAGCACAAAACAAGACTGAAGAGAAAAGTTTTATCAGATAACAAAAGGGCTTTCATCTCTAACTTAGATTTTTGTTCTGTTTTCAAGCCAGTGCACATTTTAATTGTTTCATGTTGGTGAAGCTCAGACAATTTAATGTGATACCTCTTTCCCTCATACCTTGTGTGCACCTGCCCCATGCACTGTTTAGTGAGCTTCACAACATCAGAAAACATTTTGTTTATATTTTATTGACTCTGTAAAATATTCTTTGGTAAATGAATCTTGATAATCCTGCAACAGAACGAAAATCATTTCAGATCTTAAACTGCCACTCTAGCACTTGATTCTTCAGCCCCTTACCTTTCATTTTGTCACCTCTGTTATTTATCCTTCTTTCCTTGTGTTTGAATTCCTCTTTCATAAATTTCTTGCACAAAGTGTGTGAGGCTGATGCTAACAGTTTCGGTGTGTGAAGCTTTTTTATGAAGATTTGATTGAATGTATGATTATATCTTTATTAATTACAAATAATTGGCTGGATTTATATTTTAAAAATATGGGGTCACGAAGAGTCGGACACGACTAAACGACTAAATAATAACAACAATATTTTTAAAAAACAGTGAAAGGATCAATAGAAAGATGCTTCTTTTATTCAAATGTTATAACTCCATGGTGTCCAGATGTTTTAATGTTCATTTTTAAATCCCCTGCCCCAGCAATAAAACAACATTATTTCCTCTTTGTTGGTCTATGTAGCTAATTCATTTAGGCATGTTCAAGTTACAGTGTGACAGATGACAGACATGGTGCAGTCATAGTTCATGATAATCAGTGCTTTCAGGTACTTTCATTGTCAATGTGATTAAAAGGTTTCATTATTTAAAGCTCTAATTAAACCATCTATATTTCCAAGAATGCAACAGTGAGTACAGTTACATCTGCATATTGTAATTCTTTCAATGTATTATAACTCGCACAAGACTGTAGCATTTCTCTGCACTGCTAAACATCAGTTTCTCTTTGTCTTTGTTTTGCTTATCCTTAGACATTAGAGTAGGGTATCTACTCTGATTCTGACACTTGCTCAGCAGGAGTAAGAGTTGGGGAATAATGAACCACAGGTGTGCATTTCTTAGAGTTTATTGACAGATATTGTCTGCACTCTGAGTTTGTTCCCTTATATGTGTGGATGGTCTAGGAAAGGCACCTGGACTGATATAAATAGTATTCCAGCCAGATGCTAACCAAGAGACTGTTTCTTTTATTGAAACAAATCTCTTTTATTTTTTCAAGGATGTGAGAAATCCTATTTATAGAATCAGTTGTTACAGATCAATCAGTAAATTCAGCTATAATCCTCAGCAGCACTGAGCCCCACTGAACGAGATCCATAACTAGGAATCTTGACACTCAGGGCTAGGGGCCCAAATACTTGGGTGTGAGCCACTTCCAAGAAAAAGGGAAAGGGGATTGTGTTGCCCTCCTAAAAGAAACAGAAAGTTTATGCTTTCAGGAAAAGGTAAGTGAATAGGGATGGGAGCTGTGAACTGTTCATTTCCCAGACATTTGCCTCTAGGTTTTGGCACTCTTTATGTTTTGGCAACCTGGTAAAGCCCTAGTTGCTCCACCCCAGTTACAGCCCTATATCCTACACATTCACAGGATTATGCTGCACAGGACATTTTTCAAAATGGTAATTCATATACAACAGGGAGTAGCTCTTATGGTATAACATTTTAGTTGCATTAAAGATGAATCTATATAGTTGTTTTAGTCAATAGCTAGTTATGACTAATGATAAGTTCCCATGATATCTTCCCCACAGAAAAGAATGGTGAACAATGTGCTTCCCCACTCTTCTGCATGTGTGTTTGGGGTGCAACCCTTTATTATGGTACTCCTTCTGATGGCACTCTGGGACTGCGCATGTTGTCCAATGCAATGCAAGTGGCAAGTGCACTGAATTCCTGTCTTTCACACATGTTCCAGGTGGCCTTGTTTGGCCACAATCCCAGGAGACTGAGTTTGAATTTGCACTTCCAGTCAGGTACTTTAACCTATTGAGCTGTGTCAGTTCCAGTTAATAACAGTCATAAATAGCAATTAACTTCACAGCATATCACTGAGTGATGCTTCAGTTCTGCCTCTTAATCTTGCTACCTTCTGAAATCTTAAAGTCCCTACTTTTGCCTTCAGAATCAGATAGACAATGCAAGTTGGCAATTATGGCATGAAAATTGGTTTTTAAATCCCCACTGTTTGGTGAAGTCTGTCAGGTTGTTGCTGCCTTGTATTGCAGTCAATTAACTTCACAGCATATCACTGAGTGATGCTTCAGTTCTGCCTCTTAATCTTGCTACCTTCTGAAATCTTAAAGTCCCTACTTTTGCCTTCAGAATCAGATAGACAATGCAAGTTGGCAATTATGGCATGAAAATTGGTTTTTAAATCCCCACTGTTTGGTGAAGTCTGTCAGGTTGTTGCTGCCTTGTATTGCAGTGTCATTCAACATGATAAAACACAAAAATGGGAGGGACCTAACAGAAGCAGAAGACGTCAAGAAGCGTTAGGAGAAAGAATAAGAATTGTGTGCCATCAAGCCAATTCCAGTTTATATCAGGGTTTTCTACATATAGAGAATTCAAATGTGGTTTATAATTGCCTTATTCTGGGGGCACCCTGGGACTGTGTAGCTTGCTAAATGCTGTGTAGCTTGCCCAAGGCTACAAAGGCTGGTTTTTTTCTGTGTAGCTTGCTAAATGCTGTGTAGCTTACCCAAGGCTACAAAGGCTGGTTTTCTCCCAGGAGACATAGAGGGGAATTGAACTCCCAACCTCTGTTTCTGTAGCCAGAGGTTCACTGAGTTGTCAGCAGCGTGTAAATAAAATGCAATGAAAGTGTTTCCTGTGTAAAAACCATGAGGATCGCACCAATATATTATGGAAGGAAGATTTGCTAGAGATGTGTTGTAATATGCATGACTGTGTCTTTAAGAGATAGCTTTAAATTGCATATCCTTTTTTTGTGGCTATGGTTCTCTTACAGATCAAGCTAGAACTACTTGGGAGAAGTTGATATGTTACGTATAGTGAGCCCAAGAGATCATGTTGCTGTTGAATCTTGCTTTGTTCATTTATATGGCAGCTTATTAAAATCTTTCTCTTATCTTACGTTCTTTTGTAAAAAAAAAAAGTCTTTCTTTTTCTGCCATTGATATTTATGTATTTACAAAGTAAAGACATTCTCTAAAGAAAGAGAAAAATTATTTAAAGCAAAAAGTTAGGGTTGAACATATACATCCCAGGAGACTGAGACCACAGATCATCCTTCCCACACCCTCATTTAGAATCTGCTCACATTGATACACCTAATAGATTATGTTACATCCCCACCCATTAAACAAAATAGGCAATTTCCACTTTTTGATTGTCTAAAGAGAAAAATAACACTCAGTTCATAGAGACAAATGCCACTAAACACAACCATTTGCCTTCCTTTCCCTAGGCATCCATACGTTAGCTTGGTTGCCTTTAGTAAGAAAGCTGCTGATCGTCTTTAATTAGGTAGGTGGGGTTAGATGACATGCGTAATGTTGAAGGAAAGAACCAACGTCATGGGAAGCAATCTGAAGCTTTACTGCAGACACCAAGGTTAATGTATGGATGTCAATGGATGGGGTTGGGCAACCTGAGCAACACAGAAATTGGGCAGGAAGTATGGATTCACTTCCCAATGACTTCTGGACTTCTCAATGGTTTAGGTTTCTGGCTGTGGAACAAGAGGTTGGAGTTTGATTCCCCACTGTGCCTCGTTGACAGGGGCTGGACTTTATCGATACGATCCCTTCCAACACTGCAGTTCTGAGATTCTGAGATTACTTGATACTTTTTTTACAAGCTTGTATGTTTCTTCATTCATAACAGCACACAATAGTTCCCTTCGTGTGCCATGCCAATGAAAAAGTATCAAGTGATCTTTGGGTAGTAGATCTACACTTCCTGCCCCCTCCTTCTAGGTTGTCCAAAGTGCCTAGCCCCACCCCTAGACATCCACATATTTACACCAAAACATAATTTAATAGAGCTGTAGTTAAACAAACACTGACTATATCTTTCAACCACAGCAGATAGTGTGATACTGTCAGGCAGTAATTAGCATTTTTCTGTATCCTGTTGCTCATGTACAGCTGCCTCAAAGCCCTTGATGAAGTCCACAGAAACTGTTTTTGGCTCCTTGGAGTGAAAAGATTTCAGTTGGTTAAGGGATGCTGCCCTAAGAGATAGACAATGAAAATTTTATTTAAGATGTTTTAATAAAAATCAATCAAAATTTGAAAATTTCTTCACATTTGAGGTGGAAAGGATGTGAACTTAAAAAAAAAATGAACTGGGAGACACGAAACTCTCTATTGCTCTA